CACGGTTCGTCGCCACGCACCGTCCGCACAGTCGTCCGCTACAGTCATGACACGGGCCGTCTGCACAGTCGTCGCTACAGTCATGACACAGTCGTTGCGACGGCCATCGCGCACGTCGTCTCGGTACAGCACGTGAACGGCCCTCCACACCTCCTCCTCCCTCCCTCACTCCCTCCCTCCCTCCCTCTTGCCCCGTCCTAACCCTGGCCTGTGCCTGCACGCACCCTACGACTCACACACCTCCTCCTCCCTCCATCCCTCCCTCCCTCTCTCCCTCCCTCCCTCTTGCCCCGCCATAACCCTGGCCTGTGCCTGCACGCACCCCACGACTCACACACCTGCCTTCTCTCCCTCCTACCCCGCGTTAGCCCTGGCCTCTTCCAACAAAATGAGATATAGGTCCGTGCATGCGTGCGCACCATCACGCGCTACAACCTTGTCTCGTATATCACATTAGAGCAAGGAGATCTCGCCACAATCCCCCTGATAAAACGAATAGATAGAATCTGTGAGTAAATATGTGGATATTTGCCGCTAGGCCGGCCGCGATAAAATTGGACAAGCTGGCCATAAATCCCGGGATAGACGGGATGAGATCGTCGTCTGTATTAAACCCGCGGCATCCCGTAACCTCGTACAATGGCCTACACGGGCGCATGAATACGCGCGCACAGCCGATTCTGACAGCATCCGCTCATACTAATGCACATATTGAATCCTCTCGTGGATATATTCTTACGTTAATGATATCAACACGTATCGATAGCCCTTCGCGTTCACGCGGCGATGGTGCGCGCATGGCCTATACGCGTGTATGCGAGTACGCCGTGTGTTGGAGACGTAATTGCATCGATCTCGGCGACAGTGGTTACACGAGCTTCTCTCTAAAGCCGCGGGCGCAAGCAATCTTACAGCGAGCGTGTGATGTAACCAATATTGACAGGCTACTGCGAGAATGGGAGAGGCTGCTGACACGCAACTCGCAACGAGATTTAATCGACTGTGATCAAAATGTTTATTTATAGAAATGTAGCTCGTGGTTTGCATCAATGAACACGTCACGCGAGGCGTAATTACACAGTCGAAAGGTAATCGCGAGTAGATGAATGTGACGACAAGAATGGGCGGAAACATGTCATTATTGCTGGCGTGATGACATGTTGTGAAGCACTTACTAATTATGTGGCTGCCCTTTGTTACCCGATCGAGGAACACGCCGCACGGCTGTTACGCCCTAAGTAGGTACACGCGTTTGTGCGTCTGTTTACCTGATTATACATGTGCGTATACGCGCACATATGCACACACAGTCGCGCGCACACATATACAAACACAAGGTACACATAAATACACACGCATACACACGCATATTTCTCCATCAATTGGAATCGTGTTGAAACATTTATACGCACACACACGCACGCACGCACGCACGCACGCACGCACGCACGCACACACACACACACACACACTTCACAACACACCTGGTCAGGCTAATATACATATACAAATATGGTAACAAGAACGCAACACGTTATATGCACGTAACACGAACGCGAGCGCACGTGTGTGTGTGTGTGTGTGTGTGTGTGTGTGTGTGTGTGTGTGTGTGTGTGTCTGTGCGTGCGCGCGTTTGTGAGTTGTGGTGTGTTTCGGCGCGCGAGGTGTGTGTGTTGGCGCGCGTGTGTACTGATGGTATGGTGTGTGTGTGTGTGTGTGTACGTGCGTGTGTGTGCGTGTGCGTTCGCGCGTTTGTGAATGTGTGTGTGTGTGCGTGCACGTGTGCGTGCGCGCGTTTGTGAGTGTGTGTGTGTGTGTGTTTGTGCGCGCACGCGTGTGTGTGCGCGCGTGTATGTGTATGTGTGGGGGGGGGGAGAGACAGGGGGCGCATGCATATTTGCAGAATACAGATTTTGGTGTAATATATACAAGATGTTCACATTATTTCACACGTGCCGGCGGCCTAATTTTGATTCGTGCTCAATATTCAATGTTCAATTGCTAAACAAAACGTCCAACAGGTGCTGGCGGTAGTGATGACGGTAGCGGTAATGGTGGTGGTGGTGGTGGTGTAGTGGTAGTGGTGCTGCTGCTGGTGGTGGTGGTGTTAGTGGTAGTGCTGCTGCTGCTGCTGCTAGTGGTAGTGTTAGTGTTAGTGGTATAGTGCTGCTGCTGCTGCTGCTGCTGCTGCTGCTGGTGGTAGTGTTATTAGTAGTGGTGGTGCTGCTGGTGTTGGTGATGGAAGTTATGATACAGTAATAGCGATATAACATTACGTTAAGTCGGCATGCAGCGACTCGGCCTACCTTGAAAGAACCATGCCAGCTTGCACATGGCGACGCCGTACACCCACTTCCTATACAGCGTGCTGCCGAGAATGATTGGCACGCAGATCAACGTGACGAGCAGGTCGGCCAGACTGAGGTTCATCAGGAAATAGTTCTTCGCCTTGCGCATGTAGTGATTACGCCAGACGACGACGCACACCGACACGTTGCCGACGAGCGACATGACGAATAGCAGCGTGTAGATGACGATCAGCGCCAGCGTCGTCGGCTCCTTGATCGTCAGTAGGCTCTCCTCAAACTCGCGCCGTATGTCGTCCCAGGCGGTCACGTTCACGTCGTCGTAGGGCTGCGACGCACTCATCAGATACTTTGATCTCTCTCTCTTTTTCTCCCCCTCCTCTCTCTCTCTCTCTCTCTCTCGCGCTCTCGCTCTCTCTCTCTCTCTCTCTCTCTCCCTCTCTCTCTCTATCTCTTTCTATCTATCTATCTCTGTGTTTCTCTTTATCTCTCGCCAGCGGGCGCTCTATCCATCCTTCTCCCTATCTTTCTCTTTCTCCCTCTCTCTCTCTCTCTCTCTGTGTGTCTCCTCTGTCTGTCTCTCTTTTCACTGCGCTATCCGTTGCTCTTATACCCGCCGCTGACACTGAAGCTGAAATAGTGAGCAACGCGCTGCCATGCGTTTCCGATAATATAGTGACAACGATCGACCGTAACAGGCTTCAATCCGTTGTTTTTGTGACAACAGTAATGTCACTTGACTTCATCCAGTTGACTCTACCATCGCCTGCCTTGTCGCTTGTACTTAGATGGCAATCGCTGCCAATGCCAAATGCCTCGCTGCTAGCAAGATACCGATGCGAGTAATACGAATCGTGTCGACTCTGTCCGTGGCTAGTGCTGCCAGTGTAGTAGTACGGGCGGTTGTGCCTGCGGCCGCTAGTACTGTTGGTGCAGTAGTGCTGCTATGACCGTGGCTAGCACTGCTGGTACAATAGTGAGGTTGTGCCCGTCGCCGGTAGTACTGCGGGTGCTCGCGCTGCACCCAGCTTGAGGAGGAATCGACCCGTGGTCACGTACGTTCATCCTACTGCTAGCGATGGCACAGTGGCATGTGCGCGCGCGTCGTGTGCGCGCGTGCGTGCATGTGCGTGTGCGTGTATGCGCGCGTGTGTGTGTGTGTGCGTGTATGCGCGCGTGTGTGTGCGTGTGCGTGTATGCGTGTGTGTGTGTGTGTGTGTGTGTGTGTGTGTGTGTGTGTGCGTGCGTGCGTGTGTGTGTGTGCGTGCGTGCGTGTGTGCGTGTGTGGTGTGCGTGTATGCGCGCGTGTGTGTGCGTGTGCGTGTATGCGTGTGTGTGTGTGCGCGCGCGTGTGTGTGTGCGTGTGTGCGTGCGTGTGAACACGGCCGGTAACACGTGTATTCGCTATACGGTCGGTCTGTCGATGCCGCGTGACGTCGCGTCTATATCACGATATCGTCCCTTCCGGGTTGACGGGCGAAGACGGTCTGAAACAGACGCTGGAAGTTAATCGGGTCAGATGGTCACACGCGGACAGAGCGTGAAATCGCCGGACTCGGTTCTACACTGGCCTGTGCCGCCGTATCTGTCACACCACCACTGATCGATATAACTGACGTCCTTGGTTTGCTTCTTAGTTTTCTTCGGTAGCTATAAACACAGCAAAGATTCGACCGTAAATAGCCGACTTAGCTGACGTTGGAAGTGCCGATTTCGGCGTTGCGTTGCGATGGACAGCGGATGTTGCTGGCGATGATATCTCGTTACGTGTGAGCGAGCGTGCACTGGCGCCGCTACGCGCGCGGTATTCGCACCGACGCACTAAACACGGAGCGGCGAATGAAGATGCACCCGCGGCGCTGCGTCAATTTCGCAACGAAGATAAACACACCCGGTTCCCGATGCACGGCCGATCACACGCATACACGCACATAATACACACACGCGCGCACACACACGCACGCACGCACGCACGCACGCACGCACGCACGCACACACACACACACACACACAGAGAGAGAGAGGCGATCACGGACACGGACACTGACACACGTTGACGCCTTTGTAGCGCGTCACACGGGTATTCGCCGACGTTGCTCTTGTCGGCTGCGTCGTCTGTATAGAGCCGCGTCGCACGGGTATTCGCCGACGTTGCTCTTGTCGGCTGCGTCGTCTGTATAGAGCCGCGTATCAGTCGTCCGTCATTCGTGGTTGCTGACCGTCACCGTCGTGCCGAGTGAACGGATGAGCAGCAATATCCTGCTAGCTGCTAGAACAGCAGGTCGCCCGCGTGCCAGCGTGCGTGCGTGTGTGGGGGTGTGCGCTGACGAGGCGCTGACGAGGCGCTGACTGGGCGCTGATGCGGCCGCAACACGCGCGCGTGGAGCGACCGTGCGCATGCGCTAGTTACTGCTACCGTGGTTTATAGATGTATAAATGGAGAAGTAGATAATAGCAAGAGTACATAATAGAGATCTTTATTATGTATTCATGATAATAGGGAACCCCAATATCTACTTCTGGTATACATGTATGCAGCTGATTAGACACGCAGGCGTATATACGCACACGCATTAACACAAACGCACGTACACGTGCACACGCACGCACACGCGAACACACTAGAAAACACACACGGCATGAGACGAATATCTTGCGGCGTGAACAGCAGCGCGTCTACTCGGTGCATGTAATGATTGCAACACGATGCTTTATATTATTCTGAGTACATACATAACTCGTGTAGATATATCTCACTCAGCGAAAGCTTAAAAGGTATTATCGAAAAGCTGTCTGTATCTACATTTTTGCGTCTTCTGCGCTAGGTATACGACCGTGTCTGTAGGTGCACGCGTGTATGTATGTGCAGGATATATAAATGCGTTAAAGTTTTTACCGAAATTGCAAAGCCCTCTTAATCGCTAGCTCGAATAAACCGAGGCGTTTTAAACGCTGAATGGCTTCAATTCAAGGCGCCACTTACAACGCTATCCATTAACATTCGACATGCGATGGCTCAGACGTAGCGATACCTCTTCCCCTCCCCCCACACACACACTCAGACACACACGCGCGCGCGCACACACACATACACCGACACACACACACACACGCACATACACACACATACACTGACACACGCACACACACACACACGGCGCGAAACACAACACACACACACACACACACACACATGCGCTTTTTGTATGTTTAATAGTGAGTGATAAACCCCGCGTAGTCAATGAGCATAATTATATTACATTTATATGGTTTTCGAAAACCACGCGTGGGGGCTATACGTGCACCAACCCTCGGAGTGGCGTCTGCATGGTAGTTGGAATGTCATGTGCTAATGTTATGCCGCTTATTCTTTCATAGTTGAGCTTAAATTCATTGTCTTAATTATAGCTCGCAAGTGTAAACATTTGAAATCGTTTCATGAAAAATCAACAAAAAAGAAGTAATCGATATTTTCGAAACAAAGATTCTGCATCATCGTTGATTTTCATGGCAGTGCAACTATAGCTATGCTTACACCAAACAATAGCGCTGCAAACTATCAACTATACGTGCGTTTTAAGTTAAACTTTATAGTATCAGCTCAACTACATAGATTATTCTCTACTCGGCACAATATGCCTCTGTTATAGCATATACCAATATAGCCAGTCCATTGAGGCATGTCTGCATCATCGGGCATCTTATAAATTGGCTTAACTCGAATAAACGTTTACGAGCATGAACCCTTAATTAAGCACGTGAATCGTCCCCAAACAGGTTCTGCGGGCTCAAAAACACTATTTTGATAAGATGTACATATATATACTTGGTGTACGATACTTTGGTGTCTAAATCTGACGTATTTCACTCGTTGATACATTGGGTATACTTGGTGTACATGGCGTATGGTCGATATGTAGGGGGTATACAGGGTGTATTACTTGTTGTAATTGCCGTGCACAGGGCGTATAATTGGTGTACGATACTTGCTGGTGTCTAAATCTGACGGATATTTCACCGTTGATACATTGGGTATACTTGGTGTACATGCGGTATTGAGTTCGATATGTGGGGGTATACAGGGTGTATACTTGTTGTAATTGGTGCGCGCGGTATAGTTGGTGTACGCATACCTTGGTGTCTAATCTGACGATATTTCACCGTTGATACATTGGGTATACTTGGTGTGCATTGGCGTATGGTCGATATGTAGGGGGTATACAGGGTGTATACTGTTTGTAATTGGTGCACAGGGCGTATACTTTGTTGTGTACCGATACTTGGTGTCTAAATCTGACGATATTTTCACCGTTGATAAATTGGTATACTTGGTGTACATGGCGTATGCTCGATATGTAGGGGGATGTATACAGGTGTATACTTGTTGTAATTGGTGCACAGGCGCTATACTTGGTGTACGATACTGGTGTCGTAAATCTGAACCGATATTTCGACCGGTTGATACATTGGGTTATACTTGGTGTACATGGCGGTCATGGGTGCGACTATGAGGGGTATGTACAGCGGTGTATACTTGTATGTAAATTCGCGTGACAGGGCCNACAGGGTGTATACTTGTTGTACTTGGTGCACAGGCGTATACTTGGTGTACAATACTTGGTGTCTAAATCTGACGATATATCACCAAACCCAATGTATCATCACTTGGTGTACATGGCGTATGCTCGATATGTAGGGGTATACAGGGTGTATACTTGTTGTACTTGGTGCACAGGGCGTATATTTGGTGTACAATACTTGGTGTCTAAATCGGACGATATATCACCGATGATACATTGGGTATACTTGGTGTACATGGCGTATGCTCAATATGTAGGGGGTATACAGGGTGTATACTTGTTGTACTTGGTGCACAGGCGTATATTTGGTGTACAATACTTGGTGTCTAAATCGGACGATATATCACCGATGATACATTGGGTATACTTGGTGTACATGGCGTATGCTC